AAAAAAAAAAAAAAAAGAAAAAAAAAAAAAAAAAGCTGGGAGAGTAATGTCGCCACCTAACGGTCAAGACTGATGTCCCACAGACCTATTTGAGAATGTTGAGGGTATTTCTGAGCCTAGGTTATTTTTCTGATGCTCAACAGGATCTCTTCCTTATAGGTAGGTAGTACACCCTTCGGCATTTATGAATGTTGCGGCGCATGGACAGGTTCCGCGCATCATGCGGCGCACCGCACCGCACGGCCGTGCGGGTGCGGCTGCAAGGTCCAACGCCAGTTCCGACAAGACTAAAGGGCCAGCCGGACTGGACCTCGTCCAGGTATTTGTTGTTGGGAAACTTTATGACTATAACTAAATGGTAAAATGGTAATAATCGACTTCACATAGCTTGTCCGATTTCTCCGGTCCAGACCGATACTCACGGTGTGTGTAGCAAGGTCTCTATTCTCCCTCAGTGCTGAGAGCTCCGATCTTGAGTGATTCTGAACAAGTGGGTGGGCATGGGCCCGCTGTGCCGACAGGGGGGCTGAACCCGGCGCGTAAAACCCCCTGCTGGACTTGCTCCTAGCGCAATATCCCCGACACCTCACAACTCTTTTTTTTTTTTTTTTTTTTTTTTAATAGCATGTCCGATTTCAAAAGCCAGAAAGAGACATAGCCTATGGAAACCTTTTTGCCATCATCCCACGTTCGCTGCACCTACAAATCATCCCAAGTTCGCTGCACCTACAAATCATCGCAAGTTTGCTGCACCTACAAATCATCATAATTTCGCTGCACCTACAAATCGTCACTGCTGAGTTTGACGGCCCAAGAGTTTTGCTGTTTGCTGATGCAAAAAAATATATATTCTGCAATGTTTTCCAAAAATACACAAAAAGACAGACAGGCAGACAGACCTCATTTCACCAGAGGCTAGTGAGCATAATGAGACACCTGTCTTACCACTTGTATTATATTGGATGCGTAAGACGTGGGCTCGATCCTGCGGACCATCACACCCTATCACAGCCAGAGCCACAAGCATATACAAAAAAAGCCACTTAGAACTTGCAGGAGCATGATTGTATTGATCTTCCTTAGCCCACCTGTTCTTGCATGGTCTCTGCTCCACTTCTCCCCCACCCGAAAGGCAAAAGCAGGTATGAGAGAGATGCGCACGTGAATGTTTTTGCCTACTTCGATCTATCTGAACTCGGAGCGCAGTGGGTCATATTCAAACATTTCTGGACTACATGTTCCCCTCCGTTTTCACCCAAATAGCACGCCTGGTAATTATTGCCATATCTGGCTGAAAGTTGCGCCAAATACAGATATAATGACCAGGCGGTGGGCGTTCTATTCGGGTGAACACGGTAGTAGCCAATTCTTCTGCTTGCATTCCATTCCCCGGCCAAGAATCCCAGCCCTAACAATTTTGCTTCTTCGTTTCAGGACATACGATTCACCTTAGCTCATCTAAGTTGATTGAAGCAGAATCCTCAACCAGTGATATTTCCTGCACCTAATTGACCATGCAGTGTCGTTCGACACTCCTCTTGCTGACTTTGACTTCCTGTTCAGCAGTGTTGAAACGGATGAACTAGGTACATGAAAATACAACCATGACCGTTACCTCTCTCTCTCTCTCTCTCTCTCTCTCTCTCTCTCTCTCTCTCTCTCTCTCTCTCTTTTGTGTGTGTGTGTGAGTTGCGTCTGTTTCATGCCAACACAGAGAGAGAGAGAGAGAGACAACCATGCTCTCTCTCTCTCTCTCTCTCTCTCTCTCTCTCTCTCTCTCTCTCTCTCTCTCTCTCTCTCTCT